CTGATACATTCAAATTTTAGAAACAAAATCACGAATTATATATGGTATACCTGAAAACATTAAACAGGGGCATCTGGGTGGCTCATAGGTTAAGTGTCTGACTCTTGATTTCAGCTCAGGTCATGATCTCATGGTTCGTGAGTTGGAGCCCCATATCAGGCTCTGCTGACAGTGTGGAGTCTGCTTGGGATTCTTGCTCTCCTCTCTCTCTGCCCCTCCCCTGCTCTCTCTCTCAAAAAAATTTTTTTAAATAAAAGCATTAAACAAAGGAGCCTGGAAAAATATAAACCCATTTATGAGAGTGAAATGGGGATGGAGAGAAGATATGGGACTGATGAGAGTAGTCAAAGGAGATGTTTTCTGTAATCCTTCCACTTTTAACATACAGATGAAAGCAAACATAACTAATTGCTATGGTTTTTAATTCCAGGTATTGGTCTGTTAATTGTCAAAATGGGATAGAGATGTGACTGAAGAGATACCAACTGACACAGAAAATGAGAAATTGCTTTAATGCAAACTAAGAGATAATTATACAGATTATATAAATTATATAAATTTGTATATATATACAAATTATATAAAATGAAAATAATATGGCATGTTCCTATCAGAATAGTCTACATCTTCTAAAGGGATGTACACTTCTGGTTGATAACGCTTTTAAATCCATAATTTTTATTTTTTTTTTATTTTTTTTTCAATGTTTATTTATTTTTGGGACAGAGAGAGACAGAGCATGAACGGGGGAGGGGCAGAGAGAGAGGGAGACACAGAATCGGAAACAGGCTCCAGGCTCTGAGCCATCAGCCCAGAGCCCGACGCGGGGCTCGAACTCACGGACCGCGAGATCGTGACCTGGCTGAAGTCGGACGCTTAACCGACTGCGCCACCCAGGCGCCCCTGATAACGCTTTTAGAGTGAGGATTCTAATTCACTTTGTAACTGCAGGAGAGGGACAGGGAACAGATTATTCTCCCCGCTTTCCCTCCCATCTGACTGTTTTGGGACACCGGCTAAGTGCCTTGCCTACTCACCAGGTGCAAGTAAGTGATGTAATACAACATCAACAAACTCCTGAGTATTACTGTGAGATGGGGTATACATAAGTCAAGTTTTCAGAAGGATCACTCAGCAGGCCCGAGCTTCAAATACAAGATCCATTCCTGCAGTTTGTTACAATATTCTTTGTACTCTGTATACATTTAATCCTAATTTTGAGAAACATAAGAGAAATCAAGAAAACAGATGGTGACAGAGTAATGATATAAAGGGTTTGAGTTTATAAACTTTTCTATTTTTTAATGTTTATTTTTGAGAGAGAGAGAGAGAGAGAGAGAGACAGACAGACAGACAGACAGTATCTGAAGCAGGCTCCAGGCTCTGAGCTATTAGCACAGAGCCCAATGTGGAACTCGAACTCATGAACCGCGAGATCATGACCTGAGCCGAAGTCGGATGCTTAACTGAGTCACCCCAAAGGCTCCCCAAAGGGTTTGAGTTTATAAATGCTTATAATTTCAAGGCAATGATTTGTGATCCTAAATCATTCATGATACTAGAAAACCACCCCCTTTCCACTACTCTCAAAAATTGTTTGCCCACAACAATTTATTTTTTTTAACGTTCTTTAAAAATTTATTTTTGAGACAGAGAGAGAGTGGGCAGAGAATACCAAGAGGGCTCTGTGTGGACAGCAGAACCTGATGTGGGCTCCATCTCGCCAGTCATGAGATCATGACGTGAGAAGTCCGATGCTTAACCGACTGAGCCACCCAGGCACCCCTACCCACAGCAACTTAAAAGATTCAATAATAAATTTACACAGGACATGTGCTTACTGTTACCAAAATGAAAGGCAATCAAAATATCTATATATGCTCTTTCCACCTACAAATACTGCAATAAAATTTATCAAGATAAATTGCTAAATTAAATTTATTCACAAAGGACAAAGCAGTTCAACTTCAGCTATTAATAAGTTGCCACTGGAGAGCCTGGCTGACTCAGTTGGTTAAGCGTCCGACTTTGGCTCAGGTCATGATCTCATGGTTTGTGAGTTCGAGCCACGCATCAGGCTCTAGGCTGACAGCTCGGAGCCTAGAGCCTGCTTCCGATTCTGTGTCTCCTTCTCTCTCTGCCCCTCCTCTACTTGTGCTCGGTCTCTATCAAAAATAAATAAATGTAAAAAAAAAAAAAAGTTGCCATTAGTTAAAAAACCCTGAAAGACTAAGTAGTATAAACTGAATACACAATCCATGTTACAATGAAGCACAATCTTCATTTAATTTCACAGTTTATTGGAACAAACCTCACTAGAATTTAAGCTCCATATGAGCATTTTCGGTTATGTTCACTACCAAGGATCTAGAATGGTACCGGGTATATGTAGGCACTCAATATTTACTATATAAATTCAATAAATACAAATAATAATTCACTATCAAATACCTAACTTTTAACCTAGGGGCAAAAAAACCAACTTATGCGTTGCACACATTTCCTTAGTCTTCTCAAGGATAAAATCTGCATCAGGAAAACAAACATATAGGCAGGTTTCGGAGCTAAATTCTGTCCCTCAAAAACTGCCACCCAAAACCCAATTATAAGCCCTAATAGGTTGACATATTTTAATCTGTTGGGCCTCTCAGTATTCCTCAAATGAATCAATCATCTTTGTATTCAACTTGTATGCAGGGCCAGCCCACATTAAGATGACAAATATAAAGGAAGGGGGGGGGAGAATTGCCACAACTGTTGGTTACATGAGAATCTTAAGCACCTTCTGTGTGCCCAATACATAAAATAGCATTTTACTGTTTTATAAAGTGCTTACACGTGTTCTCATTTGATAAAATCCTGTGAGGTAGGATATTATTTTATAAATGAGGATGGATAGCCTCAGATTTAAGTGCAAAAATTCACATAGCTGGTAAATGGCAAAATGACAATTTCAAGATCACTGTCTCTAAAGCCCAAACTTTTCTTCAGGAATCTCTACTCTTACCATGAAACAATCCCTTAGGGTTTACAGCAGTGGTTTTGAACCACATCAGAAACACCTGGCAAGCTTTTAAAACTACAGATGCTCAGGCCCCATCTTTCAGAAATTTGGGATCTGATTGGTCTTGAACAGAGCTAGGCATCCATCCATAGTTTAAAATGCTCTCCAGGTGATTCTAACGTGAAGCTTGGTTGCAAACTACTGAGATAATAAAAGTCTTCGTCATCTTAATCTACCTTGAGGTATGTCAAAAAGGTACAAAAGATGAAGATAAGCCAATATTATAGTCATCAGCTTCAATAAACGGAGTCAGAATTTCCAAGTTTCCGTTGAGAAGTTCTGAATGCCTTATGAGCACTCCTTGGCTTTTTACTTCTATGGAAATCTCTAAAGAGTGTATGAAAGCCAGGTCACTTTTGCACACAAAAATCTTTCTAAAAGTCACCTATGTAAGAGTGAAAGCACCAGACACTCAAAGGAAAAAAAAAAACAAAACTAAGTACAACATATCCCGCACCAGAATAGGGTCTCATTTGATTGGAACTGGCAGTGGACACAGGTGGTCTTCTCTGGGCATATGTTAGTAGTCCTACGCAATTTGCCAGTATGCTGAATTATAATGAAGGAAAAACCTGCTAACTTATCACACCCTGAGGCAACTGGGGAAAACGACACAAAAGTTCATGCATTTGTTCATAAAACAAGTATTTACTGATGACCTACTGAGTACCAGGCTCTGTTCTAGAATTTAAGATAAATAAGAAAGTTTCTGCTTTCTAGGAGTTTATAAAACTACTTATATTAAAAAAGGGGTTAGTCAATACAACCTGACAACCTGACCTGAATGCTGACCTTAAACAAAGCTGAATTAATCACTGGGTCACCCCTAACTGAATAAAGTCCACAATATGATTTTTTATCAATTCTGGTGTCTCCAATTCTAAGCTCCAAAGGAAATGTCTGTTCTGTCACTCTGGGAGATGTACTCTTGGGTGATTTTCGTTCTGGGTGTGGCTGATCCAAACAGCGTTTAACTGGGTATAATGTCAGTTAAGGGAGGCCTTTCATTTAACGTCTTATTGGTGGAACTTTACTTTGTACAAAGAACTGTACCACTTGCTTAACAAGGTGGCAAGTGGTCTGACAATTGTAAGCAACTGCAAACATTATGTATTAACCTGTAATATTCCCAGGAATTTAAGAGCTGGCGAGGGAGAAAGGTGGATTGAGTCTCCAAAAACTCATGGAAGAACCCATGAACTAGAATTTGAACAGCAGAGGGCGGTGCAACCGACTTCGCAAAAAAGAGTTTTACTGTCTGGAGCCCCCCAGGAATGGGCCACTGGCCCCAGTAAAAGACGAAACTTTCTTAGTGAACTCAACGAATCATAAAATGTGCTAACTGTTCAGTGTTGTACTCATGTGGCTGTTTTCCACAACCTCTATCCTGGCCGTTAAAGCTCCCTTGTGGATACTCTTGCCCTTCCAGTTTGGGGGTGGGGATGGGATGGGGGAAAGGAGGAATAAAATCAGACTATCAGCCTTCTCAAAAGAATGCTTACTTACCCTTGGTTTTTGCAAAGAGTCTTAAAATCGTAGGGGATCATTCCCCTGAAAGATAGTCTGGTTGTTGTTGCCAGTGACAGCGCTGGCAAACACGTTACAACATAGTTTTGGGGGGAGGGGAGGAGAGTAAGAAACAGAAAAAGAAACTAACGCCGTGGGTTAACCCAAACCCCTCTCACTTGAAAAGGGCGTTCCAACAAAACTCGACGCCACTCCCTAAGTTTCGCTTTAAGTCTACGCATCCGAGCCGCCCGCTCTGTCCTCCCCGAGCACGGACTCCAAACTTTCTGCCCCTCACACGGCCCCCCGGCCGTGGAACTCCTCCCGGCACGCCGGGCTCCGCTTACGGAGAGCCTCGAGGCCGGGCGCGGGCAGGACCAGCGCCAGACGAGGGTCTGCGGCTCGCTTTCTCCCCCAAAGCTGCCCGTACCTGTCTAGCATCTGCTGTAGGGCTTGGTCCGGCATCTTCGGCGGGGCCGGCGCACTCGGCCCTCCCCAGTGGACCTGGTCAGGGCCGGGCCCAGGGACAATAGCACTGAGAGGCGGCGGAGTAGGCCTCAGTCCGGCGGCAGCCGCGAACCCGCTGCCCAACCTCCCGGGGTGGCTCCGCGAGCCCGGAGGCGGCGGTGCGCGTCCTGCGGGCGTCCGGAGGAGGCGGTGGAGAGCGAGGAGGAGGAGCCTGGGGCGGGGAGGCGGCAATCGCGGCCCGGGTTCCTGCCCGTCGGCCCGGGGTTCCGGTCCATGGACCGCGGGCGCCGAGTTGCTGCTGGCGGAGGAGCTACCTCTGTGAGGTAAGAGTCACCGCCTCCGTGCGCGCCGGGGTCACGACGCAAGGCGGCCCAGAGCAGCCTGGGAGATGTAGTCCTCGGACCGTCCTCGCTGGAGGCTGCACAGCCCGCCCCGACCACCGCCGCCGCGCCCGCAGCCGCCCGGCCGGCGCCCTCCCGTTTCCTTCCTCCAGGGGGAAAAATGTCCTTCGGGCCGCTTTCCAGGAAGCAGCAGGATGTGCCTCTCCACTGTCAGTAGCAACAAGGTCAGCCCTCCCTGCCTGTTCTTTTCTCAGCTCTTGCCCTCAGGTGGGACCGAGCCAGGTGAGGGGAGGGGGCTGAAGGGCCATTTCTCTTCAGGGTCCCCAGCCCTGTTCGCGGCGTCGGGGCGGGCCGTGGAGGGGGTGGGGGTGGCAGAAGTGCCTTCGGAAGCCCTCGGCGCTGGGGCCAGGCTGTGCCGCGTCTGAGCTCGTTTTGGGGAGTTACACAACCCCCGCAAGGGGACGGATGCACTGGTGCGGGAGATTATTCCCAAGGGGGCGTGGGGGCCGCCTTAACCAGATGGTTCCCACCCGAGTTTCTCACTGTGTGTTTTGGGGGAGTGGTGGGGGAGAAAAGATTATTCTCTCCCTCTCTAAGAGCCTTCTATAATGTGCTTGGTCTTTCAAGGGCTCGCCGACAGTCTCCAAATGGAACATGTTCGTGAATAAACAGCTCTTGCTTACTCAGCTGTGGGTTGTCAGGGGTGTTTGTTTCTCTCTGTGCTGCTGGTCACTGTTAACCATTTAGAGTCGCTTTGACACCTCCAAGCAGGTGGATGTGTGTGTGTTGGGGGGGGGGGGTGGGAATCGAAAGGGAAAAATCATCAATCACTCGATGGGTTATTCTCTGACGCTCCAGGGACAGCTTTGGCGGGAGGAAAGAGCTGTTGGCTAAAACGAATGCGTCTTTTGGACGACCTGTGGCGTTCTCCAGTGCTGTGATTGGTAGGACGTCTGGTAGTTTTCCCTTGATTATGCCTAATTTCTGCCGCAAGATGTTTGATTTGTCTTGCAAGATGTTTGATTTTTCTTTAAAGTTAAAGTGTGTTTTTTACGCTCTTTTTAAATGTGGAATTTTACAATCAGCTCTTAATTCTGTTTCAAGTTTGCTTCCTGAATATATTTGAAGTAGAGTGTACACTGCCAGAAACAACAACAACAACAACAACATGTGAACAGAAGTTTATTTGGCCTCCAATTTCTGAAAGATGCTTTTATGAGAGGCTTTGACAATTTACATGACTATTTATAATTAACGATTCACCTTTTTCTCACGAAATGTAAAACAGGCCCCCGCTAGTGGAGGGAAATAAGAATTTAACTTACTCAGGGTTTTTGGTATTTTAAATTCCTATTTATTGCTCCTCCTACTGGGTAAGCCTTCCCTTACTGTGTATTTATCTCTTAAGTAGTTATGCACCGCAAGGAGATGGATATATATATCCTGCTCAAAAAATAGAATTTAATCCTAGCATATTGATTAAGTAGGCTAGCGCAAACTCCCGTCTAGTTTTATGATTTACGCTAAAAGGAGTTCTCTCCTCATTTTGGAATTTATATTTGAACCCCCACTTACAAAGTAATACGATATAGTCTGTTCATAACAAAGCTGTGTGCAGATTAACATTATCTTTTAAAAGGGTTTTATATTAGAATTTTCATGAAAAGTCTTTCCTGGCTGTGTCAAAAATCCTTCAAAATAGAAAAAAATATATATGTTATTCATCTTAAAAGTGATTAGCATGTGACCTAGTAATTCCACTCCTTGTTATTTATCCAAGAGAAATAAAAACACATGTCTAGACAAAACTTGTATGCAAATTTTCATAGCAGCATTTTTCCTAATAGCCAAAAAAGTGGAAACAACCTAAATATCCATCAACTGATGAAAGGATAAATCAGATGTGGTATATCTATGCAATAGAATGTTATTAGATGATAACAAGGAGTGAAGTTCTGATTCTTGCAACATGGATGAACCTTGAAAACATAGGCTAAGTGACAGGAGCCAGTCACAAAAACCACATATTTATTGTATGATTCCATTTATATTAAATTTTAAAAATAAAAAAATTCATAGACAAAGTAGATTAGTGATTACCTAGGGCTGGCGCGGTGAGAGAGAAAAGGGGAGAGACTGTTAATGAGTACAAGGTTTCTTTTTGGGGTGAAGAAAATGTTCCAGAATTTGAATGGTGATAGTTACACAACATTGTGAATTATATCCCAGTTTAAAAACTAATATAAAACAAAATTAGCTTCTAGTGATGATGGTAAGCTCTTTATACTAAAAAAATTGAATTGTACACAATATGGGTGAATTTTATGGTATGTAAGTTATATCTCAGTAAAGCTGTTAAAAAAGTAATTAGCTCCATATAAAATGTTCATAAGGACAACTCATGATTCTTTACTATAGAATTTTAATTTTTAAATATATTTTAGTTAGTATGGGTAAAAATCATGATTGGTAAAACTCATGAAATAAATTAATTCCTTGTATTTGAAATGGGTGACACGTATAGCCTAAATTTCAATTTGTCTGTCAACTTTGTTTTCCTCAGCTCTTGGATTTAAAAATAAGACTCAGAATAATTGGAATTACAATTTAGTCTCTGATCTTGAAGGAAAAAAGTCTTAATTACTTAGGTCTGAGTCTCACCAGAGGGGGGAAAAAGTTGAAATATACTGCATTTTATATAGGGCTAGAGGCTTGTGGTAAATGATATTCAGGCAAGAGAGTTATGGAATCCTAGAGAATATGGAATATATTAATAATTTTGTAATGGGTTTAGAATAAGCTGAGTACAGAAGGGCTCTAAATATGTCCGGAAATTTAAAATAGTATATTACTTTAATGTTCTTCCATCACCCTTGTTTTGAACTGTCTGCCAAAAGGGGCTCTGGAGATATTACATGGAGAAATAGTATAAAATAAACAAGTGCCCTCCAAGGAGAGTTGTCATTTGCTAAATTTGGTAATAAACTGCAGGCTGAGTCCACATTGCAGGCCAAAGAGAGTTCTTCATTAATTCACTCTGCATATGTTTACAGAGGACTTATGATGTGCCTAGGTACTCCAGTAGCCAATTAAACTACTGTTTTAAGAACATACAAACTCCCTAATGATGCTTATACTAAAAAAATAAAACAAGGTAATTACATATGAAATATTACATAATGATATGTGGCATCATATAACAAAGTACCAAATGAATAGCGTGGAAATACGAAGTGATTTAGAGGTTTAGAGTCATCTGTTGGGGGCTGGTGTATTAAAGAGAACTTTATGAAATAAGGGAAATTTAGGCTCTACCTTGTAGCAGTAGGAAGAATTGTAGGTGAATAAGTGAATTGTAGGTGTATGTAGATGAGGAGGTGGAGAAGGGTCTTGGGTCTGGATAAGGATGAAAAGATGTAGAGAGAGGAGTTAACCTCTGTTATTGTAGGTCTCTGTTGAGTGAGAGTGAAAAATAAACTGTTGGCTAAGTAGGGAATAGATAAAAAGGCCTTGAATCTATTCTTTCAACAAATATTTATTGAACGTGCACTATTTATGTGACAGGCATGAATAAGATAGGCACTGGGGATACAATAATGAGCAAAAGCAAGCATATTGCTTACCTTTGTAGAGTTTATAGTGAGAGAGAGAGAATCACATAATTTTTTTAAATTTGCAAATGTACATAGTGTTATGAGAGATTATAGCTAGGGAATTGACCTAGATAGGGAGGTCAGGAAAGTGTCTCTCAGGAAGTGTCCATTATGCTGAAACCTGAGGAAGAGCAAGAGTTAACTAGAGAAGAGGAGGAGGAATGAGCAATCCAGGCCAAAGAACAGCATGTGCAAATACCCAGGGAAGGAAAGGCCTGTGATGAATGGGGGCCCTGAAACAAAAAGGGAACTTGGGGCAGAATGAGACCAAAAAGGTGAATCAAGTGATAGAAAATGAAGAACTTTGTAGACTAATTTGAGGAATTTTGCCCTTATCCTAGAATCCTGCTGGGAGGAGTAGTTTAGACATAGGAAATCAACTCTATTCTTTAGGAATAGAGAATGGAAGTTAACTTATGGTTCTTAAGCCTGCTGTGAGTCAGAGACTCACCCTGGAAATTCTGATGTGCCTTGTCATTGTGCCCAATTAGCTGTTTTGTTTTGTTTTGTTTTTTAACAAGTTCTGTAAGTGATTATTAGACCACTGGTATCTGAGGAAATACTGCAGTGGGTGGAGAGCCTACGTTTAAGTCTTAGCATTGCCACTCAGAAACTCAGCAACTGTGGGCAGGTTATTGAATCTCTTTAAGTCAAGTTTCCTCATCTCCAGGGGAAAGAGCTATAGCATTTACTTCATTGGATTGCTGGGAGGATTAAATGAGAAAATTCATTTAAATTGTTCAGTACGGTGCTGGGCACATGGTAAGAGCTCTATTGGTGTTAGCTCTTAATTATTACTAAAAGTTCTTGAATAAAGGTGAGAATGATTTAGAGGGATTAATTTTGAAGTAGTATGCAGGATGAATTAGAAACAAAGACAAGTTAGATCTCAGTAACTTGGCCATGGTCTGGAACTATTTTCAAAAGTTTACTTTAACACAGCTATTAGTTCTTGAAGATCCTTGGATAGGCTAAGTAGTTCTTAAGTAGATAATGTCTCTAAGGACTTTTATGGGGGGACTTTGGTCCCCAGAGTACATCTTACTGGCTTAGAATCTATAGGATTACTTTGAATTGGCTTAATTCTGGACAGAGGCTTCACTGGCCCTTGTAGTGGACAGCCTAAAACCTATTTATCTTTATTTGCTGCTTAGAGAATAGAATCTTAACAGCTTATATCCACTCTAATGCAGTAGATATTTACAAAGAGTAAATAATTTTACATAATATCATCATGCACTAACTTGCCTTCTTCACTTCTTCATAAATATGGTGGAAGACCCATTACTTTTCATTATCTTTGCTTAAATTCCTCTTTGGGTTATGTGTCCCTGGGATATGCAATGGTGTGTCAAAGGTAGACAAAAATCACAGATAACTTGTCACATATTCCCTCTTGTATCCCTCTTGTGTCCCTGAAGTATCAGTTTTATGAGAAAATGTACATATAATGAATTTTCTTCCTTTTCAAACAAACATGGATGTCATAGAGCAGCAGTTCTCAAAATGTGGTCCAGCAGATCCCTAGGGCTACTTGAGGTCAAGATTATTTTCATAATAATACTAAAATATTATTTGCCCTTTCACTGCATTGGCATTTACTTTGATGGCACAAGCAATGATGGATGAAACCGCTTGTGCCTTAACACCATTAAAGGCATTGGTACTAACCTGTACTAATTGTTATATATTTTTCACCACCATGCACATGCAGTAAAAACAAACCAGAAGTTCACTTAAGAATGCTCTTGATTAAGCAGTAAAAAATATTTGATTAAATCGTGACACTTACATACACACATCTTTAATATTCTGTGTGATGAAATGGGAAATGTGCACACATCTGCATCCAAATATGATTGTTGTCTCAGAGAAATACAAATGATTGAGATGCAAACTGAACTGGCTGCTTATGACAGACTATTTTTACCTGAAAGACTGACAATAAAGAATTTAAACTTTTGTGCTATAAAGAATACTGTTAAGAAAATGAAAAAAAAAAAAAGAAAATGAAAAGACATCCCACAGAGTGGGGAAAAATTTTGGAAATCATGTGTCTGAAAAGGGACTTGTATCTAGAGTACATGAGATTTATTACAATTTAATAGTAGAAAGGCAAATAGCCCAATTAAAAAATGAACAAAAGATCTGGATAGACATTTCTCCAAAGATATACAAATGGCCAGTAAACACATACAGAGATATTCACCAACCATTAGAGAGATACATTACCATTAACCAACATTAACCATTAGGGAGATACAGTTCAAAAAAAGGACAAATGTTGGTGA